TTAGACATCTCTGGACTGATGCCATAGTTTCACCACATACTGACTGTGTGATGATGAAAGTCACTTGCCTTCTCTCAACTTCCGTTTCTTCATCCCTGGGATGGAAGGACTTATGTGGAAAAGCTCTGGTTCCTTTCTATCCTGAATCCTGTGACCTGGGAGGGTCGCTGCTCTTTGCTGCCCACATTCAGTGTGTTCCAGAGACTGAGTTCTGATTTGTGTTGGCCACTTCATGTTATCTGTACACCTCAGTGCAGCATGAAAATGGATCTGGGCAGTGGAAAGGGTAGGCTATGTTATCTTCCCATGGATACCCCTTTCCCACCTCCCTTGCTTCAGTGATGAAGTTCCTTTGCATACAGACAGACAGCGACTCTCTGGGAAATCCTCAAGAAATACCATCCATATGTTTTTGAGTCATTTACACTGAACCCATCATAATATTGTTCTTTGAAGATCCATTTACATTTGTTCTAAAGGCTTATTTTAAAGCTTATGCAAATGAAGGAGATTAAGGTTGCATTCTGGAAGCTGAAGCTGGAGAATGGGAAGTTCAATTTAAAGCGTGATGTAAATAGAGCTTCACATGTGTTCAAAGCCATTCTTCCTTCTTAGCCCAAGTGTCCTCCATTCAACCCCCTGGCGCCCACAGACCCCTGGGATTCTCCATCAGGAAACTCTAACCGATGAGTTAGAAGTAATAAGAAGAACAATAGAATGGGAATCTAACTCTTCCCCTCTTAATAGCCATGTGACCCTGTCTGTATGTTACATCTTCCTGGGCTTCAGTGTCTTTATTTGGGAGCCACCCAAGACCTCCATGAATTCCCAAATATCAGCTACATTAGAACTGCCTAAGAAGGAAGTCCTGGTATCCTGTGTCCCACTGACTTAGCATCCCCAGGAGCAAAGCCCCAGAATCCAAATCATGTACCATCTCCCCACGATAAGGGTTCTCATCTCTAGCCACATAATGCTTAGTTTCTTGCTGAGAGTCTTCTTTTCAACCAATATTTCTCTACCTGCCTCCTAGACTCGACTATGTGCTGAAAGTTCCCATTCTCCTACAACCCAGTATGGACTCTTTCTTGAGTGTTTTGTGTGTGTGTGTGTGTGTTTGTTTTTATTTGTTTTGAAGATCCATGATTCTTTCATTGGTCACCCTCAACACACTAAGGGAGGATACTAAGGTGCAGGTCTCAGTGTCAAGCAAAAGTTAGAACTCCTACAAGG